AAGGTCAATGGAGACCCCGAAAATCAAGGTTGGGTCAACCCAAGGTCTTGGAGACCCCGAAAATCAAGGTTGGGTCAACCCAAGGTCTTGGAGACCTTCGAAGTCAACCCAAGGTCAGTGGAGACCCCAAAAGTCAACGTTGGGTCAACCCCCGGTGGTCAAAGACCCCCCCCCAACCCCCAAACTTAGACCCCGCCCCCCCCCGAGCCCCGCCCCCCTCGACTCACCGGCGCACTTGTGGGCGGCGACCTCCTGGACGGCGCCGGAGGCCGGGTGGGCGACGCGGCACGAGAAGCTGCGCTCTTGCCAATCCTCCAGCGAGACGTTGACCCGCGAGAGCAGCCGGAAGGTCCCCGGCGCCGCGTCGGGGGCGGGCGGCTCAACGGGCGGGGCCGGCGCCAGGGCGTGGCCGTCGGCCAGCCAGGTGACCTCGACGGGGGGCGGGGCGAAGGCGGCGACCAGGCAGAGGAGCTCCACCGCCGGCGCGGCGTCGCACGTGTGGAAGACGTCGACGGTCGGGGGGCGGGGCTTGCGGGAGGAGGCTGGGCCGGGAAGGGTCGAGGCGGGGTCAAGGTGAGGTCAACGGAGGCCCCCCCCCCCCCCCCCCCAAGTCAACCCAAAAGTCGATGGAGACCCCAAAAGTCAACCCAAGGTCAATGGAGATCCCCAAGTCAAGGTTGGGTCAACCCAAGGGCTTGGAGACTCCCAAGTCAACCCAAGGTCTTGGAGACCCTTCCAAAGTCAACCCAAGGTCAATGGAGACCCCCCAAATCAATGTTGGGTCAAGACAAGGACAGTGGAGACCCCAAAAGTCAACTCAAGGTCAATGGAGACCCCCAAATTCAACCCGAGGTCAACGGAGACCCCAAAAGTTGACCCAAGGTCTTGGAGACCCCAAAAGTCGACCCAAGGTCAACGGAGACCCCCAAAGTCAACGTTGGGTCAACCCAAGGTCTTGGAGACTCCCAAGTCAACCCAAGGTCTTGGAGACCCCTCCAAAGTCAACCCAAGGTCAATGAAGACCCTCCAAGTCAACCCAAGGTCAATGGAGACCCCCCAAGTCAATGTTGGGTCAAGACAAGGTCAGTGGAGACCCCAAAAGTCAACCCAAGGTCAATGGAGACCCCCAAATTCAACCTGAGGTCAACGGAGACCCCAAAAGTTGACCTAAGGTCTTGGAGACCCCAAAAGTCGACCCAAGGTCAACGGAGACCCCCAAAGTCAACGTTGGGTCAACCCAAGGTCTTGGAGACTCCCAAGTCAACCCAAGGTCAACGGAGGGTCAACAAACGGGGGGTTGGGGACCCCCCTCCCCCCCAAACCTACCTGGGGTCACGGCCCGGGAGGTGGAGACCCCCGAGGTCGTCGGGAGGTCGACCCGGGGTGGGCGGAGCCCCGCGGGACGGGGCGAGTGGGCGGAGCCTACGGAGACGCCGCCGGCTTGAGGTCGGCGTCGACCCCGAAGGCCGAGGTCGGGTTTGGGGGTTGGAGACACACCCCCCCCAAAAAACTTACCTGGGGTGGAGCCGCGGGGGGTGGAGACCCCCGGGGTCGTCGGGGGGTCGGGCCGGGGAGGGCGGAGCCCCCCACGGCGGGGCGGGGGGGCGGAGCCTACGGAGACGCCGCCGGGGTGGAGTCAAGGTCATCCAAGACCCCAAAACTCAAGTGGAGGCTCTCGGAGGCCCCAAAACCCAACTGGGGTCAACCCAAGGCCAATGGAGACCCCAAAACTCAACTGGAG